TCTGATGGTTAGGTGTTTGTTGTTCGGTCAGTTCCATTGTTATAAAAGTACCTAGCGGCTGGTAACTTAGCTGATAAATTGAGCTTTCCTGTTTATTTGGTTCCTGTGCTATTAACAGAAATTGATCTGCGAAGGTTGGTTGGTAACTTGTGAATGACAAGTTACCCAATTCTTGCTGAAAGTTATAAGTTATGTCGCAATCGATAGAGTAATTTTCACTTGACTGTATTGGAAACACGACGTCAGTAAGCTGAGTGAAATCTGGCTCGTAATCATAGCTGATCTCTGCGCATTCTCCAGATAGATTTTCAATTTTGAGGATCGACTCCGAAAAAAAATGGTAATCACTGTCAAGCTCTTGTAACTTTTTAATTGACATTTTTTAAATTTGAACCCAAACTTTGAAACAAGCTAAAATATTCTATCAAAGTATTTTGTACGTGTGAATGACAAAATGTTGAAACTGGGGTATATAACTTGAAGCACCAGCTTTAACACTGCTATAACGCTGCCTCTGACTCCAGTGTACACTATTGTCAAGTGATCCAATTTACTGAAAGTTCACTGATTTCTGATAAACAAATCTGCTTTAAACACCGATATGTATCAACTTCACCCACTCTATCTTCTCTTTTATAATATCTTCTTTCAGTGGTCGTAAATAAGGGTGGACACTGAGATTTACAATCATGATCTCAACCTAATTTATAGAATACCCACATAGAAAATAAAACAAAGAATAAACAATAGTTTCATAAATAAATTGTAAAGTGATAAAGTTTTTAAGCGTAACTATTTTAATTGACATTTTGATTCATTTATGGACGATCAATAAATTACAAAATAATTATTACATAATCGTAACTTTGTTAATAGTCTTTTTTAATTTACACATTAGTGGCCTGAAATTAGTTATTAAAAATTTATTATTTTCTCTTAACCTTAAGATGACCTTGAACGAACTTTGATCTAAAATTTCACCAGGTCCGGTAACGCTCGATGTAATGAACCAACATTTCTTTTTTTACTTATTTATGTTGATAAACTTATTTGCAACCAATCAATCTTGTTCGTTGAAAACTTTTTATTTTTTAAACAATTAAGTAAACCTTCTTTATTTTATTATTTATTTTACCTTTTATTTTTATATACACATTATTTTGTTCTTTGTTTTATTATTTTATTATCACACATTTTTTGCGTTAAAATTACAAAGATTCAATAAAGAATAGTCAGGAAGGTTATTTCAAAATCTGACAACTTGTCATCTGCCGCATCCAAAGTGAAAGTTGACATGACACGATTGATTGCATTCCAAGTTCAAAAGTGAAATTAGTGAAAATGAACTCTGTACAAAAACTAAGCGGATTGATTTGTTGCAACCAAAGCAAAAACAAATTAATTTTTAAATCAGTTTTCAATATGAATTCAAAACTGATAAGTTTGTATAAAATCAGACGTCACCAGCTTAACAACTAAGCAATTAGCACAATAAAACATAGTAACAAAGCAATTAGCCCGAACAAAGAAAATAGTAAAGTATTAAACCAAAAATTTGCTTTTCTGTATAAAATAAAAATGATTAAAAAGTAGTTAAAAAGCTGAAAATGCAGTGATGTTATAAAATATAGAAGATGTGTGTGAGTGGTGCGTGTTTATATAAATTAATATTTTATGGATATATCTTTCATCTCTTAAATAGCACATTAGCATCAAAAAGTTATCAAAATTTAATTAGCATGTTTATTCTTCATCACTATTACGTAATTCAGTTTAAAACCACAAAGATTTTAAATTCTGTGGTAAGTTATGTAAATTTAAGATTCCGAGTTATCGCCGGTCATCGCGAGACAACTTTTGACCTTGTTAAGAAGTTCACTGATGTGAACAAGATGATCGATTTTTATACAACAAAAATATTCACAGATTCTTGTAAACATTCGGTCAACAAACATTTTGATGAACTAGTTAGTCAGACTGTTAAGTTGAGATTATTGCAAATAATCATGGAAACCCAGTTGAATTTTATTCAAATGGTGAGATGATTAATAGTAATCCAACGAAGCGGATGAGAACAAATAAATACGAAGAACTCCAAATAAATGACATTAGAGATGAAATGATTGAACAACTAAACTCCTACAATCCGTTGCTCAACCTGTCAACCAGAATTCAACAATAATAGTCAACAATTAAAATGATGTTTATGTAAACGGAGGTTTACAGCAGCAATGTAGTTGATATCAGCACACCAATTAAAATTCATATCGACGGAATATTTACAGGTTATATTATGCCAATTATCATCTTTATCGGTGTTGTCGGAAATTTCATGTTATTTTTGGTTATTACGAAAAAAAAATATGAGAAAAACCTCCATTTCCGTGTATTTGTCAGTATTGTCTCAGGTTTCCCTTTCTCTAAGGTTTCTACACTTATGTGCCATGGGTTGGCAGAAGGCACCAGTTTGACGTAAGAACCATTTCCAATTTAACGTGTACTGGTAAATGTTTTTAATTTGGCACGTTGACTAACCTGCTAGTTTGGTTGTTGAAAGCTATTACCGTGGAACGGTTCAATGCCGTTTGTTTGCCAATAAAAGCTGCATCATTTGTTGCAGGGAGATTGCTCTGAATGTTGGATGGCTAGTCCAAACAATTTACAATTACTTTGAAAATTTTTAAAACATTTATTAACAGTTTAAAAAATTATGCCGATTGGTTTTAATCAACTCGACCGTCATTCCATCCTTCAAACAGGTCTACACCCTCTATTTTGGTGTCCTACCTACCAAGCTCACAATCTTGACAGAATATATGGGATTAATATAAACCTGGACATCACTCACACTTATAGGTCAAACGTTTCAACTCATCATCCTGGGGTGGTTGTTGCTTCTCCACTTCCACCAACTAATACAATATTGAAAAACAACTTCAAAAAAAGGATCTACAAAAAATTCTTCGCGGAAAATTCTTCGCAGGAAAACTTGTCGAGGGAAAATTAATCCCATATATTCTGTCAAGGTTGTGAGCTTGGTGGGTGGGACAAAAGTCTGTGAATGTTTTTGTTGTATAAAAAATCGATCATCTTGCTCACATCAGTGAAGTTCATTAACAAGGTCAAAAGTTGTCTCGCGATGACCGGCGATAACTCGGAATCTTTCGTTCAATTCATTTTAGATGTACTTAAAAACTTTTTGCACCTATGAAGTCTGTAATTTCTATTGGACAATAGATATAGTAAAATAACAATATATTTTAAAATTATTATCGGACCGGTAAAATTTTACATAACTTACCACAAAATTTAAAATCTTTGTGGTTTAACTCTGAATTACGAAATAGTGAAAAGAATACAAAAAAGCTTTTCTGGTAATACTTTACTATTTTCTTTATTCTGTTAATTGCTTAGTTGCTAAGCTGGTGACGTCTGATATTATACAAACTTATAGAATGCACTTCAAAACAATCGTGTCAATCATGTCAACTTTCACTTTGGATACGGCAGATGACAAGTTGTCAGATTTTAAAATAACCTTCCTGACTATTCTTTATTGAATCTTTGTAATTTTAAAACAAAGAACAAAATAATGTATGAGTAAACATAAAAGGTAAAATAAGTAATAAAATAAAAAATCAAAACAGGTTTACTTAAATGTTTTATTTTCATAAAAAGTTTTCAACGAACAAGATTCATTTTTTGCAAATAAGTTTATCAAAATAAATAAGTAAAAAAAAAGTTGGTTCATTACATCGAGCGTTACCGGACCGGGTAAAATTTTAGATCAAAGTTGGTTCAAGGCTACATTAAGAGAAAATAATAAATTTTTAATAATTAATTTCAGGCCACTAATGTGTAACTTAAAAAAGACGATTAACAAAGTTACGATTATGTAATATTTATTTTGTAATTTATTGATCGTCCATAAATGAATCAAAATGTCAATTAAAATAGTTACGCTTAAAAACTTTATCATTTTACAATTTATTTATGAAACTATTGTTTATTCTTTGTTTTATTTTCTATGTGGGTATTCTATAAATTAGGTTGAGATCATGATTGTAAATCTCAGTGTCCACCCTTATTTACGACCACTGAAAGAAGATATTATAAAAGAGAAGATAGAGTGGGTGAAGTTGATACATATCGGTGTTTAAAGCAGATTTGTTTATCAGAAATCAGTGAACTTTCAGTAAATTGGATAACTTGACAATAGTGTACACTGGAGTCAGAGGCAGCGTTATAGCAGTGTTAAAGCTGGTGCTTCAAATTATATACCCCAGTTTCAACATTTTGTCATTCACACGTACAAAATACTTTGATAAAAATTTTTTAGCTTGTCTCAAAGTTTGAGTTTGAATTTAAAGAATGTCAATTGAAAAGTTACAAGAGCTTGACAGTGATTACCCTTTTTTTTCGGAGTCGATCCTCCAAAGTGAAAGTGTATCTGGAGAATGTGCAAAGATCAGTTACGATTACGAGCTAGATTTCACTCAGCTTACCGATGTCGTGTTTCCAATGCAGTCAAGTGAAAATTACTCTATCGATTGCGACATAACTTGTAATTTTCAGCAAAAATTGGGCAAAGATCGATGTAGAGAAGATGATTTGTCATTCACAAGTTACCAACTAACCTTCGCAGATCAATTTCTGTTAATAGCACAGGAACCAAATAAACAAAAAAGCTCAATTTATAAGCTAAGTTACCAGCAGCTAGATTCTTTTATAACAATGGAACTGACTGAACAACAAAAATCTAACCATCAGAAAGAAAATATGATGGAGAAAAATCTTGATAAAAAAAAATCCTTTGAAGACAAGGATAGTGATCGTATTTTAGATGAAAGCGGTTTGGATAATTGCCAAATTGAGTTATCATTCCAAAATAAGAAAAGTAAAGCACAGAGAAAATCTAAACTTACGATCTCTAAAGAGAAGAAATCCAAACTTACAGCCTTACAGCAAACCGACTGTCCAAAACCAAAAAAAGGAGTACAAAAGAAATTTATCGTGAAGTGTACACTGTACATCTGAAAAAAATTTTGGAGAGGGAATTTAAACAAAAGAAGTTCATTGAAAGAAAGGATAGAGATCGAATTTCGAACGAAACCGGTCTGGATGATCGCCAAATTAAATTCTGGTTCCAGAATAGAAGCGTCAAAGCACGGAAACAAGGAAAGATAACACGAAAATAAGAACTTTTTGTTATTGTTGAAACAAAAATATAACATATAATAATCGTTGCATATATATATATAGCATGTCGAAATCTTATTTAAAAAAATTAAATTGTTGATGAATTTATTCAATTTTTCTAGTTGAATTTGTTGCTTTGCCAATAATATTTTTCAATAAAAAAATTTGTAGACAATTTTTCATAAAAGTCTGAAGGTTTGTCAAATCATGTTTTGTTTAATAGCTCAAGTAGTTGCTAAAATTTCAGAAAGCGCGATAGTGTATGCATATACCTGTGTGAGTGTATGTATGTGTGTAGTGGTGTGTGTGTATAGTGTGCGTGTTTGTGTGTGTAGTGTATTTGTGTGTGTGTGTGCGCGTGTGTTTTTTGTTTCCTGTATTTTATTTGTGCGCGTAGTGTGTAAATATGCGTGTGTGTAGTGTGCGTGTCTGTGTGTGTAATGTTTGTGTGATTAGTGTGTATGTGTGTGTTGTGCGCTTGTGTTTTGTGCGTTAATGTATGTATATATATATCTCTCTCTCTGTGTGGTTTGTGTATGTGTGTGTGTGGTTTGTGTACGTGTGTGTGTGGTTTGTGTATGTGTGGTTTGTGTATGTGTGGTTTGTGTATGTATGTGTGGTGTGTTTGAAGCTTTGGAAGAAATGCGTCAGATTACTATGAAATTTTTGTGTTAGTTTTCTACGCGCTTATTGCTCGTCAATTGGTATATTTAATTATTGACTGTAATATTTTTATCATTGCTGATATCATAATTATTTTTGCTATTATCAGTTCATTCAAATGACCGTTAATCATATACAAATAAAAAATATAAATAGCTAAGAATAAAAAGTATTATAATAATAATTAAATAAATATTTATGAGTTGATTCTTTCTTTTGTAAATGCAACTTGTTATTTCATAGCATTATATAAATTAAAACAGCGCTCCATAATTATGACAATAATTATCTATAGTACGCCGTATAAGAAAATGTCTATAAATTGTAAAAGAAAGCTGTACAAATAGACCGACACGAACGAGGAGTACAGCTAATCAGAAGACGGAGCACAATTGACGTAAATGTGATTTTATGTAGTTATTAGGATTAAGTTATTGTTTCTATTACTGCTGGTATTAAATAAACGTTTGACGTAGTTCGCGTTTAAAAGTTGTTGTGTTCATCTATCGGAGATCTTGAACCTACGGATGCACGAACTCTTGATTATCATTGGAAGCTACAACACGGTGTTGGAGATATAGCGAGTACTGAAGCTATAACATCGGTGTTGGTAGTTACGAGGTCGAAGAGGTTACGACACTGACGTTAGAAGTGGGATCTTCAGGAGATTACACACTGGTGACAGAGGTAAGATTCCGATAGATGGAAGCTTACTGCAGTAAAGAATACCAGGGCTAGAGAACTCAATGTGATTAGTTGGACAAGAGAAACTTAACTATTGACGAATAGTTGTATAAAACATATCCAAAATTTTGATCCCCCCGATAAAGTTGTCTAGATCCGCCACTGATGGTGCCACATACAAAACGTCACTTTGGTTTTGAAACGATCGTTGATGATAAGAACGGGACGCTTAGTAGCATGGCCACACAGTTGGCTCCATTGCTCTCTTTTTGATATCGTTGAAGCCGATGTTGTTGAGATGTTGAAGACAGGCTCTCTACTCTGTGAAGTTTGGCGACGGCGAAATGAGATAACTTTAACCGGGCGAACAAAAATTCTTCGCAGAAAATTCTTCTCAGGAAAATTCTTCTCAGGAAAATTCTTTGTAATGGATTTTCGTTTTTGTAAAGTGCTCCATAATAAGGCTGTTGCTTTAATTAAATGAACTAGATCGTAATGTACTCGCATAAAATTATTATCGTAAAATTAAATTAGCAAAGATATAATTCATTTTAAAGATTTGTTTATTTATTTGTTTTATATTTTTCCTATTAATCAACTTAACAAAAACCAACATTTTTTTCTAGACGAGTTTTTTTTTCAAATAACAAATATTAACCCCAAAGAAAATATGAAATTACAATATTTTAAAGCTTCGTTAATTCGTTATTAAATTTGTATGAACTTTATCGGGGCGCCTTTGAGAAACATTTAAATTGGCGCTATAATAAATTTTCTGTAATAATAATTTTTCTGTAATAATTTGAAAATTAAAAAGAAAAAATGTTTGGCATCTGCCTCATGGTCTAATTTGTTGATTCAAAAATGCCCTTTTCTACAAACAAGCCATTTATCTAATTAAAACACAACACTTCCAATTTTTGACATTAAAGTTTATTTCTTAACAATAATATATGCTTTTGTTTAGTAATTTGATCGTGAACAATGATTAGAACAATTTCTGATAAAATGAAAGCAACAATTTTTAATAATTATATAATAAATAATAAGTTAATAAATTTCTGACTGTTTAAGAAGTGATTTCCCTGTCAAAATTTCATGAACGTTCGTTCGTTCGGCATGTACACTGAGCATTTTTCCTCAAAAAGAAACCCGGTCATCTCGCTGGCTTTTGGCCACACCGTTCACGCCAAACAAAATCTACCAAGTGAGTGGGCCTGAGGTCTTTCGAAGTACCAAACATGTACTTTATCTTTCTTTTCAGTAGGCTAAGCTGGACGTGGCTTCTTTTAAAGAAGGAATCTTTTCGAATGGGGGTTCTTTTTTGACAGCTTCGGACAGGACAGTGCCAATTAAGCCATCGAGGCCCGGTTGATACGCAATTTCAGTCATACCACTGATGCAATTGTGACAAATCATTTCTTGATACAACAATCCGTTCAATTTGAGCCATTGTGTTGTCGCCCTGATTCCTCTACTGCTTGCGCTGTTTTTCCATTGTCATCATCACTGTCATTTACTTTATCACAGTCAATGTCATCGGAATCATCTGATTCAACCCCTTGCCCTGGCTCGTAATCATCACCCTCAGATAAATCTTCATTCAAAGTATCTGTATGTGAAAAATTATAAATATGCAAAATAGAACTCAAATTTATCCACAAAAATGGGTAACATTAATTTTGCTACAGATATATGCTTTGGAAATGATGAGAATGAAGTTTGCCAGGTCCATATATGCGGAGTGAGATATGGCTAAAAAAGAGCACAACTGTAATAGAAATTAGTGTTGTTTCGAATATTACTCATCGATTACTTTTACTCAAGTATTATAAAGTACTCGATACTGTCGAATCCTTTAAAAAAATAATCGATTACGAGTATATTTTCGATTCCGAGTAGGATATATTTATCTATATATAGTTCGAAATATATATATATATATATTTTTTTTTTCGTGGTACGCTTAACTTACGTTTTGTGTCCTGTAAATTTTCGTTTAAATTTCTATTAAATTCCGGTTTCTTAACTTTAATTTAGTAAATTTTCTATTAGAGTTGCTTATACCCTGTGAACATGAGGTTATGGGTTCAATATGGGCTTCATGGGCAAATGATTACCCATATGGGTGTTTTGTGGGCCCAATGCGGGATTTATGTGTATAGGAAAGCCTATATTGGCTCCACAAAGGTTCAATAAGGGTTGTGTAGGCTTTTGCAACTATATAAAATTTTGTAACATTTTATTATTCCATTATAATATTTAATGAACATTTTGAATATAAATTCTAAATATAACGCTTTTTTCAATGATGATTACCCACATGGGTGTTTTGTGGGCCCAATGCGGGCTTTATGTGTATAGGAAAGCCTATATTGGCTCCACAAAGGCTCAATAAGGGTTGTGTAGGCTTTTGCAACTATATAAAATTTTGTAACATTTTATTATTCCATTGTAATATTTAATGAACATTTTGAATATAAATTCTAAATATAATGCTTTTTTTTCAATAAATAAAATGGACAAGGTTTCTAAAAATTTTATTGGACAACCATGGGTCCCTTATGGGCTATCTGGGCTAGTAGTCAAAAATTAAAATATGCGATGATTTAAAGCTAAATGTTTTTTATATGTTATGGTATACTATGAAATGTTTTAAATTTATGTTTTTATCAACTTAATTGAGTCTATTTTTATGACCGTTTTATTTTTCTTAAATTTTAGTACATCGCTTTTTTTTGCCACGCTTTCCTGTTTACTTTTCAATACTATTTCCGAAATTTTGATCCTGTTCCTTTCCTTTTCATCGCGTTAAAGTTAATATATCGGTATTACGAAATATTTACAATTATTTTGTTTGATTGCGTGCTGAATACTGATAGAAAAGTAATGATTTAATAAATTAAATAATTTTTTTGTGATCTGAATGCCCCTTTGATTTGTTAACTTTAATTAACTTAACTTTGTTAATATTTTAATTTATTGTATAATATTTTAATTTATTTTATAGTATCATAACTTAGACAAAAGAATATTTAATATTTTGATTTGTTCACTTTAACTTAACTTTGTTAATATTTTAATTTATTGTATAATATTTTAATTTATTTTATAGTATCATAACTTAGACAAAAGAATAAACAAAAAATGGATTCTTCGAATGATTATCATTATAACAAGCGTACTTTATCTAGACACATAAAGAGGAAGGTAGAAGATTTTTTTTTAAATATTCCTATTCCTATATATCAATCATCTAAACAGGTTTTTTTCTTCGGAGACTTTGGAGGAAGGAAACTGGATGAAGTAATAAGAAGAGTGATGTCTCACATAATGAAAAATGATGTAGCCCTTGGATTCAACATGGTTGAGAAAAAAGGGAAAATGCCATTTGGAAGTTCAAAATTATTCGAGATTGTATACAGTAAGTATAATTTTAAAACCATTTCCTTCAATTCGTTTCAGTTCAATTTTAATATTTTTTTTCTTAGTATTCATTGATCTTTTTTTATTAAAGTTATATTTTGTCTTGCCCGATTCCAGTCATTGTAATCCTCACATTTCTCCAAGACTGAATCCATTGTTAGAGTCTACTAAGGGACTCAGCTTTGGAGAACATGAACCTGCAGTAGCTACAATAAACATATGAAGTACTCCATGTTTATTGTACAGTAGTGCTCAAAAAATTGTGAACACTCACATATTTCATGGGAAACATGAATAAATTTGCTTGTGAATCGAACAGATTAAAATGTTTAGGTAGCAATCTTTCATCCTTAATTAGAACTATTATTCCTAACATAAATTATGAAGGTTTTGTAAAGTTTAAGGTTTTAATATAGGAGAAAAAAGAATATGAACCAGAGAACCGAAAATTGGCTAAAAATCTGGTAAATTGGAAGTTGTGAATTGAGCTTCAGTAATTCATCTTACTTACTATTTTATTATCGTCTGGTAGCTATAAATACTCTATGGTTGTCTAGGTAACGCGTGGAAAAGAAATATTTGCAAAAGCTAGTTTAATTTTGCTTATTTGTTTTTTAGTTTTTTAATTTTAGGAAATTAATTGATTTTTTGCTATAAGTCATGCCTAAACGTGCTAGAAAAGATCTGATTCTAAATTGAGATGGTAACCCAGATACCGCTGGGTTGATCGATGGGAATACGGATATTAACCCGGATGAAAGGAATTCGTTGATTTCAACTGCAGTGAATTCCGGGCCTGCGCCGGCAGCAAGAACACCCACTCAACCCCAAACCAATGAGGTGATGTCCTTAGTGGTTGATCAACTTCAGACGATGAAAAACATGATGTCCTCGATGATGGATGACATGTCATCTCTGAAGGGCAGACTGAATAAAATTGAAGGAAAAATGGTGGATGAACCGATTGTACCAATATCGATGAATGATGATGATACAAACAGCATATACGGTACCCCTAGAGTTTCCACGCTAAAGAACAGAACCGAAAGAAGGAAGAGGAACGATGATGAGATCGATGAAGTCGCTTGCCAAATTAATACAAATAAAAAAAGAGTAACGGTACAGGGTAAAAACGATAAAAATGATAAAGGAGTGATGGGTACTAAGGATGTGAAAGTCACAAGCGATACAAGATTGACTCAAGAGGAGTTTGACAAAGAAGTTGAAGGCAACCATGAGAGACATATGAATATCATGGCGAGATTTGCGTGTGGCTTGTATGGGGAGGAATATGTTAATGGAAATAGAGAGGGTTTCCTCACCGATAGAGAGTTGAGATATGCTCAGACCCATACTACGGGTTCGAAGTAGGAAGAACTGCGACAGATACAATGGCAGTCCAGAGTTCCCAGACCCTGGCTGCCCCAGAAAAGGAGGAAGGACTTGGAGGTCCTCAACCTTAGTGGATTGAAGATTGATGATGATATGATACGATTACTCGGTAAAGGAATGAAGTTTAATTTTTCATATACCCACACGACAATGTTCGATTACAATAAATTCATGATTGATGTGATTGAAAGAGAATGTAAGATAAAAAATATCAAACCTAACGAAATGAAAAAATTCATCCATGATGATACCTTCATGAGTGCATTCATGGAATTCTGTTACTTGAATCAGAGTAAATTTGTTGACAGAATAACAAACCTGCCGTCCAACCACTCTGACTCCGATAGACGCTTGTTGAAACAATTGAGAGACAATCCCCGAATAATAATCCGTAAAGCAGATAAAGGTAGCACTGTGGTACTGTTAGACAGCCTTTGCTATGAGGAGGAGGTGCTGCGCCAACTGAATGATGCTACATACTATAGGAGGATTGATGAGAACCTGCTGAATAAAAATTGTGAATATTTGAACAATCGCTTGAGAACTGCATATCGGGGTGGTGAAATATCAGAAAACCTGATGAATAGGTTACTTCCTCCCCCTGCCTGCGGCCTCAGACGATTCTATATTCTCCCTAAAATTCACAAACCCAGAGACAGGTGGCCCAAGGAGAATTGTCCGCCGGGACGACCCATCATCTCGGATGTCAACACTGAGAGTTCAGCAGTGGCGGAATTCATCGACATGAACATTAAAGGCTGTTGCGCCGATATGCCGCAATGCCTGCTGAACTCCCAGCAAATGGTGGATGCACTGAAATACCATCCTGTCTCCTGGAACGACCGATTCATAACGGGCGACGTAGCGTCTCTCTATACGAATATCGACTTGAACAGAGCGCTTGCAGTGGTGAGACGAGAGTTGAAGAAGCATAAGATGACGAAGCGTCCCGACGAATTAATCCTGGATCTTCTCAATTATACCCTGTTTAACAATGATTTTATGTATAGTGATAGATTTTATTTACAAACTAGGGGTGTGGCAATGGGTAAGGCATATGCCCCAACCATTGCCAACTTATATCTAAGAAACTTTGATGATCTTGTTATTAAAAACTTTACTCCTCGTTATTATTATAGATATCTGGACGATATTTTTTTGCTGACTGATGGGATGTTTGAATATGAATGTTTTTGTAAATTTGTGAATGGATGTATTAAGGGTATTATTATTGAATGTAGTATGAATGAATTTATGATTGATTTTCTGGACGTAACTTTATATAAATATTTATTTAAGAAATCATTGCGTGTGCATACATGTATCCATTTGAAGGATACGGATAATTTAGCTTTGTTACATCGAGATTCCTGCCACCCTAGACATGTTATGCAAGGGGTGGTACGGTCCCAGTTCATAAGATATTTCAGATTGTGCAGCGAGTATTCTTCATTTTGGTACATGTCTAAATTACTTATGAATGTTTTGTGTGAAAGAGGCTATGAGTTTAAGTGTATGAAGAAATGTTTGAAAGAGGTAATGAGAGAGTATGATGTGATAAATTTTTATAGAAAGAATGAGAATATGAATATGGATGTTATTGATTCGAATGATAGTGTAAATGTGAATACATTTTGTATAAGCTTGAATAATATATATGATGTACCTGTTGTCAATAAAATAAATATTCCGGTTCCCTATTCGAATGGTTTGAATGATTTTAAGAAGAATGTTATGGATTTGTTTGATAGATTTAAAGGTAAGAATAAATCTAGATGTATAAATGTCGGAGGTAAATCAATGGGACGAATGCTCTTTAGGAACTAATTCTATTTTATTATTATTATTATCCTTTACTTACTACATTGATTATTGACCATTTTGTGCTATTTAGTATGAATGTATACGTTATTATAAGGTATTTTATTTTCCCTCTCTTCTTACTATATGTACCACGAGATAGACTATAATTTATTGATCTTGACGATCCATAGGATTTAATTGGAAGGTTTGGCTTATTGAGTTTTTACTTGAATATCTGATTACTCTTATTGCTGATTGAATGATGATTTGTTGATTCTGATTGATTTTGAACTGGTTGGAATGATGGATTCGCGAGTTTTTGCGTGAATATTTTATTATTTGAATATGATATATGTACCCTAACCCTAACCCTAACCCTAATACTATGTTTAAATGGTTTTTTTATATATTATAAATTTGGATTTTACATTTTTATAATTTCAAATATTTTACTATAGTTCAATTCCTGAATATTGCAATGGAAACGTGTTCGATTATATTTGCATGCAATACAATTTTCATACAATATGGGATGGACTATTGCTACATTGCTACTTCGTCCAGTATATATAGCTCTCGTATACAATATCGCTTAACGTTGTTTCAAGATTGTCGAATATTGCTTGTATTATATTGCTGGATATTTGATAAAACGGTTAATATCTTGAATTATTTTATTAATTCTTACATTTTACTATTATTTGAAACAATTTTACTTCGTGAGAATATTCTAGAATACTTATGAATATTTTTAAACATAAATTTAATGTTTTTATTTCATTATTGTACATTTAACTGAGAGATTTACATGAAGTTGAAATATTTCATTTGAAATTTTATGATAACATTAATTGTTATTCATTAATTGACAATAATTCTTATCACTTTAAACTAGTATTATATTTAATAACGGTGCACTTACCCTATTGTTTTAACCTGTTGAATTGAAATTTGGGAATTATACAATATTTATTCATTCTCTCAATATAATTCTTAGCATCATAATTTTATATAATAACATGACATTCATTATATTTCTATCTTCATTTGTTGAACTGAAATATATAGATAACGTAATAGTTCTTGGGATATTTCATTGTATTCTACTACTGTAATTTTAATTGCTTTATATTGGATTTGGTTTTATTGGAGTTAGTTTGTTGTGAAAATAGTTGAATGTAGGGTATTGTTTCTATATGTTTTATTACGGCTTAACACTTTAGTTTAATGTAGATTTGATTACTCTGTATTGATTTGATATTGAATTTGGTTTCATTATAGTTGGTTCAATGTGAAAATTGATTAATTTGGGATATTATTTTCTTATATCATTTCATTATATTTCCATCACGGTATAAAATATTAACCTTAATGTAGATTAAAGTATTCGGAATCTGTTTTCATTGAATTTTGCTTATTTTATTAGAATAGAAATCTTCTGGGTATTATTTAATTGAATTAAACTTGCTGGTTCATTTATTGAATTGCCAACTTTATTTTTGTTGGCTCAGATATGATTATTCTTTATTTGACTATTACCGACTCGTTAACCCTTTGATTTTAAATTTACAATTTTATTCGATTGGTAGTACACATCCATTATTATGGTAATTTTAGTATAAATGTTTTAATTTTATTTCACAGCTGTTAAAACTTTAATGTTAATTTTATGTTTACATATTTCATTGCAGTTCTCGCATTCCTGATGAGACTTATGTCGAAACACTTGTGTTAATACCGAGAACTGTGTGCAGAATAAAAGTTCACTTGAATTTGAAAGTGTCTACATTGCTTCTTTCGTCGTACTATCGTTTGAACATATCAGCGCAAAATATACAGAAACACACAAACAAACACCATCATACGCACATACTCAACATTCATTGATCACCCTAAACGTGCTAGAAAAGATCTATCAGATGATTTAAAGCAGTCAATAATAAGAAGTGTTGCGAATGGATTGACTTACCGTCAAATATCACACTATTTTGGTGTTTCTGTTGGATCTGTTGCATCTATTGTTAAGGCAAGATTGTCTTCATTTCTAAGTTGTGATAGTGGTTTCATAGAATTGTTTAATTAAATCTTGATATTTACTAGTCATTTTAGTTCATGTATGTATTCTCTTACAGAAACATACTGAAACAGGATCGGTTTCTTCAAGGAGGAAGAATTGTGGTCGAGTTTGTAAAGTTTCACCCCGCATGCTCCGAAGCATTGAGATTGCTGTACGTCGGTCACCGACAAAATCTAGCAAAAAGCTACAACAAGAATTGAGGCACAGTGGTTTAGATGTTGGAACAAGTACCATCAGAAGATATCTAAAAAAGATGGGACTTGTTTCAAGGGTTGCACCACCTAAGCCACTTCTTACACTTCGACATAGGAAACTGCGACTAAGCTTTGCAAGGAAGTACATAAGCAAAGACGAAGAATTTTGGCGAAAAGTCCTCTTTACTGATGAAACTCGCATCTCAATTTGTAATGATGCAAATAAAGTTCGCTTTCGCAGAAAAACTGGAGAGAAACTGAACATATTTACTCCAACTGTGAAGCATCCTGCATCAGTTATGCTGTGGGGAGCATTTGCGGCTTCCGGAGTTGGCCGAATCAGGTTTCTTGAAAAGGGAGAGGTATGCAACAGTGCATGGTATATTAAAGTTTTAAACCAGCAGGTGAAATGGTCTACAAGAACCCTCTTTCCAGGAACAGATTTCTGGCTGCAAGATGATGGTGCTCCTTGCCATAGGTCAAAACTAGTGAGAGACTTTGTCATGGCCAATGGATGGAAAACTTTAGATTGGCCTCCTCAATCTCCAGATCTTAATCCCATAGAAAACTTATGGTACCTGCTCAAAAGAAAGGTTTGGACCAAGAACTTCAGCAATGCAACTGAACTAAAGGAAAAAATTATTTCTGTATGGAATTATGGTTTGAAAAATGAACTACTTGAGAAGCTGGTACTTTCAATGCCTTCTCGTCTCCTTGCAGTCATCAAAGCTCGAGGTGGCTCAACCAAATTTTAGAAGAGAACAGAACTTATTTTTAAGCTCTTTTGAAACATAATAAACCTTCTTAACTATTTAGAAAAATTTTATACAATATTAACAAAAAAAAGAGTTAGTTATAACATAAATTTGTTCAGTTTAATAAGCGTTCACAATTTTTTGAGCAATACTGTAGCTACTGCAGGTTCATGTCTGATAGCTGACTACTGGCCAACTCAGCCTTACATCTTCTTGGAATAAATTTATGTTAAAAATTTTTGTAAAATAATTTTTTTATTCATATAACAGGATCAGTCAAAAAAATGCTTCAATTTATGGTTTACTGGTGCTCGAGACAGAGATGGTAAAAAGGCATCTCGGTTGAACAAATCAAATTCATCTGGTAAAAAGGCATATCAGTTGAACAAATTAAGTTCATCTGTAAGAACAAATGAAGGAAATTTTTCAGACGAGGCATCAGAAGAGACCGTGCTCGAACTCAGGGAGGATAACGAGATTATAATCCGTAAGGCGGACAAGGGGAGCACAGTCGTCATCATGGACCACGATGAATATCAAGATGAGGTCCAACGTCAACTGAACGACATACGGTACTATAAAAAACTGAATAATAGTTTGATGGAGAACAACGTCAGATATATTACAGAGAGACTCAAAAAAGCATACCGCGAGGGAGAGATATCGGAGAATGCAATGAGGAGGCTGCTGCCAGATGATGATTGCAAAGCTCGGAGATTCTACATCCTACCCAAGATCCATAAGCCTGCAAATAAATGGTATAATGTCAGATGTCCACCGGGTAGACCGATAGTATCCGACGTTGACTCGGATAGTTCTAAAATAGCTGAATTTATAGACACGAACCTGAGGATGTGCTGTAAAGATCTGACTCACGTGCTCCTTAACTCGCAACAGCTGGTCGACAAAGTGAAATTCCGACCGATCAAATACGAGGATGCATTCATCACGGGTGACATCGCCTCGTTGTACACGAACATCAACCTGAACCGTGCTATGGCTGTTGTGAGAGGGGAACTGAAGAAGAAAAAGTCACACCATCGCCCGGATGGCCTGATCTTGGGCCTGTTGCACTTCACGTTATATAACAGTGATTTTTTATTTAATAATAATTATTATTTACAAATTATGGGAGTTGCTATGGGGAGGGCATATGCCCCCACCATAGCAAATTTATATTTAAGGAACTTCGATGATATTATTATTAAACGCTTTAACCCGGGATACTATAGTCGCTATTTGGACGATATTTTTTTATGGGTGAATGAAGGATTTGATTTTGAGGGTTTTTACAAGGGTGTGAATGAGCTAATGGACAATATCACAGTTGAATGTAAGATGAATGGGAGGATGATTGATTATCTGGATGTATGTATATATAAATTTTTGATGAATAAAATACTGAGAATACATACCTGCGTCCACTTGAAGGAGACTGACAATCTATCCCTATTGCACCATAGCTCATGCCACCCCAGGCATGTTATGAGGGGAATTGTCAGATCCCAGTTTCTCAGATATTTTAGGTTATGTAGCGACTTTGGCTCCTTTTGGTACATGGCACGAATGTTGATGAATGATAGGGGATATGGGTACAAGGATATGAGGAATATATTGAAGATGGTAATCAAGGATTATGACATGTATGAATGGTTTAAGAAATATAATGATGATTGGGATGGTATGAATGTAGATACGGCTGTGACGGCTAAGGATATTTTTGGTGTGGGGATGCATAACATTTATGATGATAGAAAGGGTAGGGATCTAATTATCCCGATCCCCTTCTCTAATGGGTTGAATGCTTTTAAAAGTAACCTAATTGAGTTTTTTAAGAAGAATAGGAAGAATGTCAACGTGAAATGTGTGAATATTGGGAACAAACCTCTGGGACGGATGTTATTTCGGGATTGATGAGAGGGATGACGGATGATGTGGTTTCACTTTGGGATGCGTGGGTTTTGAATGGATATGTATGTTTCACTATGGATGTTTTATTATTGTATTAATTGTATATTTTCAAGGGGTTTTTGTAGGGATGGGTTGTTATCATATTAATTGACATATTTTCAAAGGGTCTAACTTCCATATATTGAGAATTTTTAACACAAATTCGAAACACATGTGTCGATCACAGAGCGAGTTTTTGTAATAAAGCATATTAGAAACAAAAAGACTTACTTGTGAAAATACTTAAATAAAAAATATAAAGATTTTACTACATCCAATGACAGCAGTACCGATGAAAAGGAGCAAACTTAGTGGTTAGCAGATTTGGCTTTATTCTTTTTTATAAAACCCCCTCTTTTGGAGACAAAACACATATCTTTATAAAACACCAGAGATCCCTAAACAAACCAGTAGTGAAATGCTAGTTGCACCAGATCATTCTCGGATGGTCGACAAGCAATGGGGCGGAGAAGAGACAGCATTAAGGTTTAAGATAAAGGAAAAACACATCGATGAAGTGATAACGATTATTGTGTGCGCTATAGCTGTTGTAGTGAATCTAATTATTACAATCGTAGTCTTGAAATCTAAATAGTTCCAAAACACCACTAAAAAGTAAAGACTATAGCAGCTATACTGCTATCAGCTATAGTATAGCTTGAGAAGTAAAGAGTAAAAAATTTCATCCTGATTTGCCAACTGATGGGCGAACCTTAATAAAAACTCCTAAAAATTATATCGTAAAACATTTTAACAATGGGTTGTATTATCATTTTTCAACTTTATGAGCGCACAGTTCACATTTGTGCTCGCATTAGCGAAGAAAGGAGACATGACCCGCCAATTTAGTGCGAAAGCGACGCGCGGACTCCAGATTGAGCTTGGGCTCTCGAACGTCGAGATCTATAGTGATGAGGTCTCGTGGATCGCCACGCGAGTCATCAATTCTGTTACTGGCCAGAAAGTTATAAAAATGCTGCCCTCAATAAGTCAGTTAAAATATGCGAAAGTCCTAAACCAGATTGGATGAAGTATACTAATGTACAATATGTATACAAAACAGGTTGGAAAAAACTTTGTTTTTATTACTGAATAATTTCATTTGTTTCAAATATTTTGTTCTTAGATAGTTTGGATCTTGCCTACATGAAAAGGAGAAAAGCTGAAAATTTGTCTAATCTGTCTGATTTAAATACAGATACTTTTGAAATAGAGAAGAAAAAAAGACGGTATGGTATATTTTTGAATTTGTTAATTAAAATTCAATGATGTGTTTTGAGAGAAATAAATTACTCCATAATTGTAGGAAAGTCTGTAGGAGGGTCTATGATTCCAGCGATGAAGAAATACCCACAAGAAAAGTTGGCGCTAAGAAAAGGAAAGAAAGGTGAATTTGACCTTATTTAATAATCTTTGTTTTAGTCTAAATTTCCTATTTCTTTATTGGCAGTATTGAAGAGCCAAGTGATTTGGAACATTTATTCAATTTGGACAATCTACCGACTTTCCCATCTACTTCACAAACCCCTAGGAATAAAAGTTGAATTTTTTTAACATTAAACAAATTAATAATTATACATATGTATCAAATATTTCAAATTTAAAGGCAGTTCAGGCATACAAGGACCTTCATGTTCGTTTGTCTATGATACTCCCATAAATCAAAGTATGAAATTAATTTTGTTAATGTTAGATTTTTTTATATAAGGTTACACATCAGGTCAAGAAATATCTTATGTGAGTCAACAAGGTATATTCACACCCACTTCACAAACCCCTAGGAATAAAAGGACCTTCATGTTCGTTTGTCTATGATACTCCCATAAATCAAAGTAATTTTGTTAATGTTAGATTTTTTATAAAAGGTTTATATTACTAAATTGTAGGTAATCGATGTTTGGAGAAAGCTATCGCTTCAAGTCAAGAAATATCTTTTGTAAATCAACAAGGTATATTATTTCATTATTGAAAATCTTGAATTTATTGATTATATCATATGTATTTTTTTCAAAAGAGTCAAGGTTAGAAAAAAAATAAATTCCGTATTACAACAGATGTCCAAAATGAATGAAGATATTCAAAAAATGAATGAAGATATTCAATTAATATTTGATTTATTAAAAAGTAGTAATGTGACACTTGATAAAAAAATAATTAAATTGTCTTACCTTCCCATTGATACAATGGAGAAGTTATATGAAGTTAATAATAATGTGCAGAACAATGTGGAGTGTGCTAATTTGGTTAGTATATGTATTACATTTCTTTAGATATGCAACACCATATTTTAACAATTTTTTAATTTAGGTGGATCATTTATGCACACTTGGTGGACAGAATGTAAAAGATTGTGTGCATCGAATGATGAAAGCATTGATGACGCACCAAGTCAGCCTCAACATTACATGGATGGGCCAGAAAAAAGAAAAGGAGGGCTGGTCAAGACTTCTACTTCGAGATGCCCTGATTAGTCAGTATTTTTTGCTGTTTCAAAAATAAATAAAATTTCTATTTATCTATTTTCTAATAATTAACGTTTTGTTTATTGTCTTTTTTTCTAGGATTAGATTTAGATTTCAATGTAATCAGTTTATTTTTCATTAACTCCTCCAGATGCCATACAAAAAAATCTAAGGACTGGGCATGCCACAGAGGCAGATTGTGATGTTGAGGTGAAAAAATGGCTTCGGAATGCACCGGACAGGTATGGTGGAAGAGCCAAAAGGGAACAAGCCAAAAGCAGCACATAGATACTAATTGTTTATATATATATATATATATATATATATATATAATGAAATTATTAATTAAATGAAAATGAAATAATGACTTCAATGAAATACTGAATTCAATTATTAATTTGTTTCTTAGAGTATATATATATATATATATGTATGTATGCTTGTATGTGTATATATATATATATATATGCATCTGATAATGTGCATTGTTTCTTACTTTGTTGGTATAAATATGTTCTAAATTTATCATTTACTTTTTTAATTTACTTTTTGTTATCAAATTTTATTCATCAATCGTTTATTTTATTTAATTTTAGATTTTCTGTTACTGTTACTAAATTATTTATGTTCTGGTTTTATCAGGAAATTTACTATCTGAATATATATATATATATGTATGTATATATATATATATATACTTGATATTTTGCAAATAATAAAAATAATAAGATGTTATTGTCTAATATGTAACATTTATTTAAAAAGTGGGCCGATGTCGGCAGTAAAATTCGGACCTATACCGGAATGATTACGGGTGATGGTAATAAAATCCGGGTCGATGCCGGATCGAATACGGGTGCTGGCAACGAAATCTGGTCCAGCGCCGGCGCGAATAAGAGTGCTTACGATAAATCCGGGCCGATGCCGGCGCGAATACGACCGTAGCCTAACGTAAATAACAAGCCTGAGCGCTCACATCCCTATTTTAATGTTTTGATCAAATAGGAGGCGAACGATTTGGTGGTAGGAAAAAACATCACCCGGATAAAAGTTCACCTGCTAAAAATGCAGAGAAAAAACATCACCCGGATAAAAAATCACCCGGATAAAAAATCACCCGGATAAAACATCACCCGGATAAAACATCACCTGAATAATACATGACAAAATTTAATATAAAATATAAAACTTTTACAATCGATGACAAGCGTCTCCAATTTATATTCTATTTAAAAATTTAAAAACTTTTTTTAAATAGAATTATTTGCTGCGCACAATAATTTGGTGCACTAATTACCGCCTTGACGTCGTTTGATTGGCTGTAGGATTTGTCTGCTTTTGTTAAAATAGTCTCAAAAATTTGTTTGGTTTTGCAGCAAATGTAGAACTTTGCTATTGAATTTCCCATTGAATTTGTTTAATTTAGACAAGTTTGATGAGTGGGTATTGTAGACATTTCAATAAGCTATCAGATAAATATCATAACTCATTTTTGGCAAAAAAAATGTGTCTGGTTTTGTAATATAGCTCCTCATTTATACTAATTTAACTGTTATCATGGAATTTATTAGAAACAACAAAGGTGGTTTGCAACTTTGCTATAATGGGTACGCCTTCAACAAAAAAAATAACAAAAAAACAACAGTAAGATGGCTATGCAGCAAACATAGTTCATTGAAATGCAATGGATCGGTTGTCACAAACTTAGAAGTGAGTAAATCTTTATTTTATTTAAATTGTAAAAATTACAAATATAAGTTAATTAAACTTAGTAATTAACAATATTAACTACCTTTATTTCAATAAATGTTTTCATATTTTTCTATGTTACAAGATAATAAAGACCTCATAAATAAATGTATTTTATGGTGTTGTTTGTAATGCGTTTTTATCAATATTGTTCTGTTTTGTAGATGAATGCAGTATTAAGTGTCACACCTCATACACATCCATCGAGTGAATCAGAAATTGAAAAACTCAAAGTAATCAACAGGATGAAACAAGCTGCATGTTTAGTGTCAACGTCGAAACCAACACACGTATACGCATCAGAATTGGTCAGCATGAATGAAGATGTCAAAAGAAAATTAACTTCAAAAGACCACATGACAAGGAGACTTAGATATCAAAAAAGAAAACATTTTCCAAAAGAACCTGAATCTGCGACAGATTTGAATATTCCGGACGATT